TCTCTTTAACACATATGTGCAAATTCCATTATCATTAATGAGTGCTCTGCATGTACGCTAAAGAGGAGGTGGACCAAGTCACAATGGAATCTATTACTTTACCTAGTTAAAACAAAAAACAAAAAACAAAATACAAAAAGACTTGCATCACATTCCCGAGCTTTTCCTGAGAAAGAGAAGTACACAGTGCTGAGAGCATATAAGCAGAATGGGATGGTGGCAGTGGCACCAGGGAAACGGTACTTACTTTTTATGGCCACGATGGCAGGAAGCAGAGATTTGGGGTTGAATTACTTTGGTTGGCAAATGTTGAAGCTGACAATAGAGGTCCACAGAGTCTTGGATATTCTGCCTTTGTGTTGAATCAAAATAAAGAAACGAAATATTTATGAATTTAATTCTGCCTTGCATTTTTTTCTGTCTTTGAAATGGCAATTCTCTGTGCGATATGTATAGATGTGCGGTTCAGATGGGTTCCTAGCCAATGTGGTACTCCATAAATGTGGTGCACCTGTGTTTTCTTGGTCACCCTGCTGTCACTGGGGTGTCTGAAAATGCTCTCTCCAAACTAAGTGAGTAGGAGGCGGGGGTGGGCACGTGGGGGAAAGGGATAGATAGGATCTCCTCTTTCCTTTTTTTTTTTCTCTCTAATTTTTTCTCATTTGGAAAGCCTTGGAACATAGATTTAATCTCAGGCTAAGAGGTCAGGTTTATCCCAGTGCAGAGATGTTGACTAATCCCAATTTGGGACTGTGGTGTCCCTGTATGCCCTCATATTCACCTATCTCACAGGGATGTAGCTATATTTATAATACACAATTCTAATATTGCAGAACTGCAAAGGTCAGGGCATTCCGAGCCTCACGGTATCAGGCAAACAACCACACAAAACTGTGCATCACCCAGAGGCCCCCTTTGTAAAGCTGTTAACCTAACATCCTCTCTCCCGCACGAACAGGGACACTTGTGTACAGCAAGCCCTCAAATAACATCTTTTCATTTGGTGTTGTTTTGTTAGAACATTGATGAGATGCTGTGGAAACTTAACTCTTGCTTATATCAATTAGCCTACGGTAAAATTGGTGTTGTTATACACTGTTTCACTTAAAGTCACAGGACCTATCGATGACATCGAGGACTTCCTGTATTAATGACCCTCTACCTAGCAAGCCCAACATTCTGATTAATCTGAGAAATGGGCTTTTAGCGTTGGGAGAAACCACAAGTGAAACAAAATGACCGCCAATGAAGGCAGACAACAAAAGAACAACACTGATCCTGTGCCCTTACCTTCATTTCCCCCTGAAGATTTAAACTTCCAACGGTAAAAGCAATAATGTTCTGACCTTAAAGGGCTCAGGCTCTGTTGCCACTGGTTGTTTAAAGACTCATTCCTCAGCAGCACTTGTACCATGGGGCCTCACAGCCGGCCGCTGTGGTGGCAACCACAGACACTGGAGTTCAGTCATATTGGCATCCGATTCTGAAAAGGGGAGGGCAGGGAGAGAGGGAGTCTATTGGCCTAAAAAGCTGAAACATCTGCTGGAGTTATTAACAGCTTTTTGGCTGAGTTCAGCAGCAGGGCACCTTGTGGTTGATAGATTCTTCTCTCAGCAATTCAAAACAATGCAGTTAAAGCAAATTTCTCATTTTCAGAGCACAGCTTAATGAGGCATACAGTATTTTAAAAATAGTCACACTTAAAATGGTCAATAGCAGTGACTGCAATCAGTGGTTACCTTCGGTACTCCATTGTGTTGACTTTGCCAGGGCAATTGTATAATGTGGAATTTTCAAAGACCATGTAACTCATGGTTAACTCTCTTTGTAGGAATTTACATTATTTATGAAGTTTGTGCAGATTATCCCATGGTGTAAATATTGGAAACCTTGATCAAACTACTTAGAGGTCTTGCGGCTCTCCTTTCTCAAAAGTGTGCCTTAAACCATTTTAGGCTCAGAAGTCCAATTCCAGGAAAGGCTCCGAGGGGCGAAATTTTGAAGATGAAGTGAAACCGAACATGTGGCAACAGCCTGGGCTGGAAAGAGTACTGGGCTGGAAGTCAGGGCAGAGGGTTTTAGCTTTCGTCCTTGTACTAATTGCCTGTGTGAGTCCTTGGGGGAGGGGCCACTTAATCTTTCTGCCTCAATTTCTCCCTGTATAAAATGAGCAAGTCTTTTAAGGGGTATGTCTCCAAATGTTTCTATTCAGCTCTCCCGTCCTGGGAACTGTGGAGTTCAAGTCCAATTTTATAGTATTCCTCTTATGAAATCCATGAGTTGTAACTACATTGACACCAGTGCCTATTTGCATTAACACATGACAGTATGCATGGTATTTGGGTGGGGGTGTCAGACAAACAAACTACAAAGTTAAATAGCTCTGTCAGTCACTGCAAGTGAATGCACCATATGCCATAACAGACGTGGGCAAGTCCAACCAGTCCCAGCTGGATTTCCTAGCCTGTTAGTTTATCTGGTCAGATGACTGTCCGGCCTAAGGAAGGGTCACACACAGCTTTATGCCCTACTGATCCAGTAGGCTAAGTTTGGCAGAAGGAAGGGGGTGATGAGGGAGAGAAAAGGCTGACCATTGGCAAGCCAACATCTGTGATGGGGGCTGCACTCCACCCAATTCCTCTTTCATCACTTGTCGCTGTGCCTGGCACATGGTAGAGAGGAGAGAGAAGTTAGCCAAGTCACTGCTTCCCCAGGCAGACGGGTGGTTTGACCCTTTCCTGCAGAGGGAACTCAAAGGAGGACAACACTTCCCTTCCCCACATTCTGATCCAGGAATCTCTAGGGACAGGGGCAGTATTAGTATTATTATCTATTCAACAATGATCCTGGTTGGTTCTGAGATACACTTACACCCTGATACGCAAGGGTTTCATGAATGGGGGGAGGAAGTTCCTAGCCTCTATAACCAAACAATTTCTATCATTGAGGCTGAGGGCACATGGTCCAAGCCAAATTAATCTGTCTGGTCCTCTACCTCAGTAAGAGCCTCAGGTTTCATTCAGAACTACTGGGAGAACTATACAAGTAAAGTGAGTAAAAACAAACCAAAGCCTTTCCACGCTTTCCAAAAGGGTTCAGATGATGTGGGCCTTGATTCCTGAATGAACTGAAGAAAAATCCTCACAATGTCCAGGGTCCTTGTGTCCCACAGATGAAGGTGGGAGGTTTCCTCAAACTCCTTGCTACGGAACCCACTTGGGTGGTACCGGGCTTGCCTTATAGATGGAACAGCATATCTAGGAAAGGAAAGCTTATATTTATGTAGAAGCCCTGGGAGATGTTTCTGATGGCAGTTTGGGGCTTTGTTGCCATTGGAAGCCCGGATGATGTCATGCCTTGTCCCCAGGAACATCAGCCAACGTGCTGTTCTGAGGTTTGCTGCTGCCACAGGAGGCTTGCTCATTGTTGAACCATTAGCACCTGGAACCTTGTCTAACCAGCTCCAAGAAGCCCTCTGAGAGCCTCAGTGTGGAGGCATAGTAAACCCAGGGCAGACCACCGGCCTCTCACAGGGGCATCTTACAAGGACCAGTGGCTCTATGGTACAAGAGCTTCTCTGTGTTCTTGCATGAAATGGACACTACCACCTCGTACAACAAGAAGGGGGCCTCCAGTGAGTCTGATGTGGGGAAGTACTGGCCCAGGAAGTCTTGTGTAAGCAGAGCATACCTCACACCAGCTCCCATGGGAAGTCATATCTGAATTCTCCTTTTGCAGAGAGACAGATGAGAGGGCAAGAACCATCCAGCCTCTGCTGAAAAGACAGTGATTAAGAATTCCTGGTAAATGGGGGGTCCAGCTCCTGAACCCAGGGCTGCTGAACCTGCAGCTGCAGAGTTTCTGAAGATTGGCTCATCCCATGCTACTTGTTCAGCAGTTCCCCACTGAAGCTTGCGGACTCAGGCTGCTACTAACGACTGTTTGCAGTTCCCACACCACGGGCTGCTGAATGGGTAGCCACAGCCACATGGAGGCTATAAGCTAGCCTTCCACAGGCCCTTAAAGAGAGCACTGAAATAAGATAGATGGGAAATAAATATCAACTTATTACTCCCCTCCCCCAAATACCAAGAAATCTATGCCAAAGACAAGTGTAGACATGCCCTCACATCTTGTGTCACCTAGAGCATGGATGTTGATTAGCTGAAAGTGTGTGTGTGTGTGTTAAACACATCACCTGTCAAGTCAGGGCATGCATGAGACCCAATAGCAAATATTTTTTATATTACTGAATAAGAAAATAATAGTATCTTACTTGAACTTTGCCATAGTTGACAATTGCCATAATAAAACTCAATTCTAATTCAGATTCAAAGGGCATATGTAGTGTTGAATAAAATTAAAAAATAGAAATTAAAAAAATCCATAGACTGTCTTTATTTTGTCCAAAAAGCTAATAGTCCATTTTGACTAAGTTGCCTAACCTGTATATAACACTTTCTTTTTTCAAAGTAAAGTAAGACTAAGCATTGTCACCACTTACTGTTAAAACATAAGGCATC